ACGCTCGTGCCTTAAACGCTCGTGCCTCATACGCTCGTGCCTCATACGCTCGTGCTTCATACGCTCGTGCTGATGCATTAACGATGGGAACCTAGCACACACTAGCTGAGCAGCTAATCACTTGATTTAAACTTACTAACTGATTTACCTATTAACTCAATGGCTTCCTGAATGGTAATGATTCACTATAGCTAGTTGTTTGATCGATTTGCTCCGACAGGTGGCCTTCTTTAATGCAGACAAGGACTTCATCAAGTCTAAGGAGCATGGCTCTGGTAATACAGCTCTGCACATGGCTTGTAGACACGGACATTTTGTAAGTATGGCTGTTAACTATTGCAGAACTTTTCCATTCCTCTTTGTACAGCAGTTGCTGGTAGCTGCTCCTTTCCCATGGAACAAGCTGCCAAGGTCCGCGCGCGAAGCAACAAACTTAGAATCTTTTAAGATTTTACTTAAGACACTTTTATTTAGGAATCATTTCAGTTATCTTAGTATATCTATATTTTTATTTGTAATTATCTTTCACTAATTTAATGTAAATAAGTATATATAGTTTATGATTTTTTACAAAGAATTGTATAATTTTAGTTATTCATTACTGTTGTGATGCGCTTTTGAATATTTTATAGAAAAGGCGCAATACAAATAATAAATGTTATTGTTATTGTTATTATTGCTAAGCCCCTGGAACTCTCAAATTATTTTGCGGAACCACTGACAGTCACAATCCAAGTTCGATTATTTAATTTAGACCAGTAGTAATTTAAATTGCAAAGTGAAACCAACAAGATAGTAGTAGAAGAGCGATTCATATTAAACTGTTACGTTGCTCTACGTTTATTTGCCATTTCCGTTTTCTTTGAAATAAATGGCTTGCAGGACATTGTGTTATATTTGTTGGAAAATGGAGCAGACATTGATATGTTGAACAATCACCACAATACGCCCTTCTTCCTCGCCACCGAAAGCTTACAAAAAGAGATTTGCCAGGTAAGGAACAATGATTTTATTTTGTTGTCCTACTTTTTCGACTGACGGACTGCTTGGCTGAATGACTGACTTACTGACTGGACAACGAATTGGAAGATCCAAAAACTGGTTGACTACCTGACTGTATGGCTAAGCGAATTTTTTTATTTAATTTTTTTTTATTTTTTGATGGACAGCTTCTTATCGAATGGGGTGCCGACGTGATGAAGCGAAACAAAAGCAGCAAAACGGCGTTTGACCTGATGCGTCATTATGAACTCAAGAAATTCTTGGAAGGTAAAATATTACATCTGACACCAGCTCTTAACGTTTTTTAATCACGTGGTAAGATTAGATTATTCCGCTCATTCGGCTTGTAAATTGACAGTGCAAAGCAACACCTCCTAACAAAATACATAGAACAAGGCATATGGAATTGATTGTATTCCGTTAGTATTATTTACTCTTTTCACCCTCGAATCAGTACACATATTGTCCATACTGTTCTCTATACATTTCCTAAGGTGCTGACAAGGAGAATTTGTTCAACAATCAAGAGCTTTTTTTAGTTGATGGTCATTTTTCCTTTATTTCTCGTGACTTTATTACTGCTCGTCATTTTTTTTTTTCGCTAGCCAAGTATAAAGAATGGCAAGAGCTTGTCCCCAAGTTGATATCCGGAGACATCAAGAAACTAACTGCTGTGATAAACGCTCATCACAGAAGAGAAAAAACTATGGCAAGTCTCAAAAGCAGGTGATAGTGAGAGTCGTTTTCCTGTTGGTAGTATTTTGTTTATTTCATGACTGGAGCGGCTCTCGTCACCAATGCATAGTAGTAACATCGGTCGTAAAATATTTTAAAAAATCAGACGGCAACTTTTAGAATATACATATCAGCAGTTATAGGCAGTTTTCCTCATGGCGGGGTGGGCCGGGGGTCTGTAACAACATTTTACAGGCATTTTGGGGACATGCCAATTATTGTGGGGGGGGGGGATAGTTAACATGCAGCCGGACACTTCCTTCCTGCCTTTCCCCTAGCTACGTTCTGTTTCATTAACTGTGATAAGGGGAACAACAAGTTGCTCGTTTCAGCTCCCGGACTTCTTGAGGACGGGGCTGCCCAATAAGAAGCGTAAACACAAGTTAATGCGAATATCCACAAGCGCAAAAAAATGGGCCAAGAAGCTGAGACTTCAAATGAAAAAATACACGGCGGTTCTTTTGTTATTCATCATGATTTCTTTTTACTCCCGCCAGGTGTGTCAGTGGTAGCACTCTACTCCATACTGCGTCCTTCTTTGGAGCAATCCCGGTTATCAAGGTACTCGTGGTGACAGAATGGTTACTTACTCAAATACTTTCTCATTTATGCTCATCGACAGTAATAATTGTTATTATATATTTCTCGTTCCCAGACCTTGCTCTCAGAAGGAGTTGATGTCAATACTTTGGACTACAAAGGAGCCACGCCCCTGCACAGGGCCAAAGATGCGGCCACCGTGGAGGTATGAGTCTTTAAGACAAGTTGTTTTTTAAGGCTGGATTTCATTCATGTCGAAGTCAGAATCTTTATCAAAAGAGCAGAGCACCACAATCCGGTGAAAATGAAGCCGAAGCAGTTGTAAACCATCGGATGACCTGAGAACTAGCATTGTGATTGGTCGGTTATTCTGCCTCTGCTTGCGATCCGACAGTTTAGTCCTCACTAGGTAATAATTGGCGGAGTTATAGCGGAGCTGGCAGCGCGCGCGGAGCGCGGCCCCATATCAATGATAAACGGAATTGGAATTGTTCATTACGTCATAGGCCCTCCTACAACGCCGGCTACGAGTCATACTCCAATGTCGACTCCGACTTCGTTGCTTATGGAAACCAACTTTTATCCTAAATTGAAATTTTTATGATCCTTTTTTAAATCCTGTCGCAGATGTTGAATTAAGAAACAGGTTGGTGTAGCTTCATTGCATTTTTATTCATTTAGTTTTTCGTCTGGTTGATTATTCCCGTCCCTTTTGATTTCGTAGCTTCTCCTCGAGGCAGGCTCAAACATCGACAGTGAAGATCATGATGGCAACACTCCATTGCATGTCAAATGTTACGGTGAAAGTGGAGAGCCAACTGACTTAGAATGCATTGAAAAAATGGTGAGTCAAATCTTGATGATAGGAATCATTCAAATTTTGGGCTGTGGTGATACTTCCAATCAATAATGATGTAGATTTGGATCCATTAGAGACAGGCGTTGCAGTCACCCGCGTCCCTTTCTTTATTCTCAGAAACGTTCAACTTGACTGGTTCTTGTTCTTTTAGCAACAACGTGTTAGCTTTTCATCTCGGCGTCTTTATCTGTATATTTTTTTACTCTCTATTTTGTTTAGCTGATGAAAAAAGCTCCTCTCAATATCAGAAATAATCGAGTAAGTACGAGAAATGATTTTGTTCATTAACTATGTTGCTTTTTTTTCTCTTTTTTTGTCGTAACAAACCTTGGATTCCTTCCCCGTCTCCCCCCGTCGTCGTCTCTGTCCCCCATCCCCATTCCCCATTCCCCATTCCCGTTCCCCATTCCCGTTCCCCATTCCCGTTCCCCATTCCCGTTCCCCATTCCCGTTCCCCATTTCCGTTCCCCATTCCCGTTCCCCATTCCCGTTCCCCGTTCCCGTTCCCCATTCCCGTTCCCCATTGCCGTTCCCCATCCCCGTTCCCCATTCCCGTTCCCCATTCCCGTTCCCCATTCCCGTTCCCCATTCCCGTTCCCCATTCCCGTTCCCCATTCCCGTTCCCCATTCCCGTTCCCCATTCCCGTTCCCCATTCCCGTTCCCCATTCCCGTTCCCCATTCNTTGAAATTTTATGTAATTTATCAGGATTTGATGCCTATTCACTGCTGTGCGATGCAAGGACGGATAGACGCCATTCAGGCTTTGCTCTTCTTCGACACAGAAGGAATCATTAGGCAAAACTTGGAGATGGAAGGCGAGGTATTATGTCATTAAACCGTACAAACCTTACATCATCCATTTACTGATGGATTTCGTAAGATGTAACTGTTTACAAACGGGTCAGTTGTCATGAAATATTCATCTTCCACGTTTCGGATAGTCATAAACCCTACGACTTCATCAGCTATTTTTTTTAATGCAACTTTCTGCCCTCTGAGTTAATTTGGGTGTATAAAAACTATTTTCTTCTTTAGCTACTGCTTTGCCAAATCCTTGGGTTCGATCAGCTCTCATGAATTAGGTTCACGGACTCCGAAATTTCTGGATAGGAGTTGATTTTAAAACTTTATGTATAAAACTATTTTGTTCCTTTTTCATTTCAGAAAACTCCACCCAGTCTTCTTCATTTGTCTGTGGCTAATGACTTTCTAGATTGTGCAAAATGGTGAGTTGCCAGAAATTGTTCCTCTCTGCTGATACCTTTGTACTGATGTTGGCTCCTTGCTGTTGACCTTCACCATCTAATGAACAAATTACGCAGACCATTTTTCAAGCGCGCGGTTGAACATTATCTCGTCTTTTTTACCTGTAATACATTTCCCACAGCTTTTCACCAGTTATAAAATGTCCTATACTTTTCGTGTTGTGCACATTTCCTCCCCTTTTTTCATCTGTTACACATTTTCCCGCGCTTCTCACGATTTGTATGTTCTTTTCACCTGTTACACGTTTCCCCATGCTATTCACAAGGTGCACGTTCTCACTTTTCACCTTTCACAAACTTGAACTCTCCCGCGCGCGTTTTTTCACCAGTTGCACGTTTTCCACGTTGTCTTGTGTTGCAAAATTACAATTGCCTATTCTTCACACCAGTTGCATGAACTTCAGTCTGAGTACCTGCTAGGCCTGAAAGCTGATTTTGGTTTCTTGTCGCAAATAGGTCACAGAACACTTTTGTGTCTTTCTTTTAGGCTAGCAGAAAACAACTTCGAATTCAAGGACAAAGAAACAGATTTACTCGTGCATAAGATTCTACTTGAAGAAGTTCCTTGGTAAGACTTTTTTGATACAGCATCCAATGTAAAATGTTTCACCTTGACCCACGAACGAGTTCTCTGTGGACCAGTGGAAGCGTTGTATCTTTCACAACTGTTGTCTGATATTGTAACACAACGTACGTGCGTGCCGTGACTGGTGGTTGCGGTTGAAATCTCCACCAGGACTCAGAGTTATGATTTGATTTCTAAGCTTAAGTGTCGTGTGACAATTGATTTAAAAAAAAAACTGTGTTTCACGAGCTAGCAAAAATTTTCACGAACTCTAAGGCTTCGTGTGGGTTGGTTATGTTGATTTTTTTTTTTTTTATTTTTTTTTATTTTTTTTATGTAGTGGTAATCGTGTGGCAACCGTCAGGTTTCTCCTCGAAAATGGTGCTTCCGTGAATCCTACATACCCCGGAGGAAATACGTAAGCCTTTGATTGTTGTGAGTATTCTTTGTTAATCTCACTTTTAAATGGATTAGATTAAAATTCTGTGCGCTATCGTCCTACAGAGCTCTTCACCTGACTGCTGGCCTGTCGAACGCTTCAGATCTGTTAGAGCTGTTATTGTCATTTGATGCCGATGTTGATGCCCTGAGCGATGACTTGTGTAGTCCGCTTTTTTACGCCGCGCAGGCCAATAATCTGTACGCGGCAAGTCTTCTGCTAAATCAAGGTTAGTGATGAAATTGCAGTTATATTTTAAATTAATGAGTGTGTTGATGAGCGAGCGAGCGAGCGAACGAACGAGCTAGTAACGAACTATTGGACGTACGGATGAAAGAACAGAGGGACGAAGGCATGTACAAATTCGTGAACGGAAAGACAAACAGACCGACGTACGCACGGATGAACGAACGAACGCACGAATGAGTGGACAGATGAATGGACGGACGAACAGACGAACGTACGAACGGACGAAGACGATCGGACGAACGGACGAACGTACGAACGGACGAAGACGATCGGACGAACTGACGGACGGATCAACGAACGAATGGATGAGCTGACAGATGAACTTAGGGAATGTTGGAGGAGGATTAAAGAAAGAGGAAAGAAGGAATAAACGGTCTTGGATAGAACGGGGAAGTAGTAAAAGAACGGTTGATTAGGGACCTTAAGCAGTCAGGACGGCAACGCCAAGGAAGACTCCGATTAAAAAATGAATTTCTACTCTTAGTTAGAATTTCGAACATGGCTGCAGGAGCTTACTGTCTCATTAGGCGCCACAGCTCGACTTCAGCATGACGTATAAAAGTGGCGTTGAGTTCCAAATGGAAATTAAGATAATTTGCCGTCGCGGTTTCGGTTCGCAGACGACGCAAATTTCGGCGATTTCACGTTGTTGTTTTGCAAAGGACGGCTAACAAATGTACAAAATTTCAAAACGCACGTGCTGAGCTATTGTTCTGCCAATTAGATCTCTTGTTTTTCCACGTCCTCGTTGCCGTCGCCGTCGTGGTTGCTTAAGGTCCCTAATAAAGGGATGGAGGGCGGGAAGGACGCGGACAGATCGATGAGGTCACGAAATCTAGTCGTGTGAATAGTCTAGTCTCCAGTACTCTTGTAAAATAAGATAAAAAGTAAAAAAGTAACTTTCAAAAGTAAGGCTGATCGATGGTGCTTTGGTAAATTTTTATAGGAGCCAATGTGAGGACGAGAAATTTACAAGGTAAGGTGTTGCTGTAGATAACACCCACATGAACAGGCCGCAATGTTAATTCACTAGTTTATTCTTTATATTTTCCTTTCTTCCATTTTTTCGATTGTTTTATTATATCTTTCATCACTTTCTGGTCAAAACGCGATTTCTTAAATTTGTTTGTGGACGTTCCACGTTTCCTTATCATTACCGTTGTAATTACCACGTCTTATCGACACCGGTATCATTACATTTATCGTTACTGGTGCTGTTCCAGAGTCGCTAACTGTGATTTTAGTGAATTTCAATATCTGTCTCCGTTGAACGCTTGATGTTTTGGTCTCCCCGCAGGGCTGACTGCATTTGATTTTATCTCTGACTTCGAAGAGTGGATCGAATGTTGTTATTTCAGTGAAGAAATAAAGGCGAGATTAAAAGGTTTGTCAGCAAGAATACACTATTTTATACCAGTTGGCGACTCCCCAAACGTCAAATTCCTAAAATTCTCAGTCCATATCTGGCCAGTGGTACATTGTGTGATAACTTCCTTCGACGAAAAACTATGCCAAAAATTAGACATTTCGCAACAAAGCGCAGCCTGAAGAGTGTTTCTGCAGTTTGTTCGTGCAACTCTTTCTGCCCCATTGCGCACATCTGAAAGGCCTATCCATCAAGCTAGCCCCTAAAATTCCTTTGTTACCTTTCAGCCTACAGCCTCAAGCACGCGCGGGATCTGGTGCGAGCTATAACCAAGAAAGTCAGGAACCAACCAGGACTTTCTGCGTCGCAGCAGCCGGTGGGTCGATCTCAGCCTACCTTGCGGGCAATCAGTAGTGGTCACGTCCCTCTGATGCTTCCACCAATCCGGAAAGGAGCGACAAGTTGAGGCGCGCAATTATCAGCTGTGATCACCTGGAGCAGGCTGCAGTGATCGCTTCTTGAATCTTAGAAACACCAGAAAAGTCTAAATCACTAATTGATATATTTGTTAAAATTTGTTAAATGAGCTCAGGAAGTTCAGCAAGTAAGCTTTCTAATTGGAGAATGCATTAGTGTTATTTAGCCTAACCCTTTTAGTGGACCGAAAAAAAACAATCAACAATCATCTCCCCTACGCTTAAGACTTTATCCTTTTTTTTTTTACTTTGAGCTCTTATTGGCACCTTTTGATTTTTTCACAAATTTTGATTACGATTTGTTTAGGTTTCCTTGTAGAATATAAAGATCATTCCACGGAAAGTGCGCACAAACGACTTTTATTCACGGGTTGCGATGCATCGAAAAAAAGAAACCAAACGAGTGAGCGAGTGGGTTCTTTGATGCATTGCAACGAGTGAATAAAAATCGCTCAAGCACTTTCTACGGTATGATGTTTTTAATTTTTCTTACTGCCCAACTCATTTTAAAGATTGGAAGTGAACGACTGTGAAAATATTCATTCGCTCCGACGAAGGGCTAACGCTCGAAACGTCAGCTTTTGTAATCGTTACGGTGGCCAATTTACCATTTCAACTTTGTTGATATATCCAAATTATTTCGTTACTCCCACCGACGCAGCCCCAAACAGTTTCTTTCGAAACTATCAGCCTTTATTCGACTGTGAAAATGCATCGCTCGTCCAATCAGAGATGAAAATATTTATATAACTAAACAATCTTCGCTTGTAAAGAAATAGTTTTGTAATGCTTCTATGATATTTATAATAAAGAAAGCCTCTCATTTTAATAGTGTGCACTTTCTCTCTAATCCCCCACTCTCTTTTCTAGTTCATACTTACATCGTAATGGCATAAAGACCAAAGGACAGAAAAATAACGATAGAAACAGATCAATTTTTTTCTATGCATGTTCATATTATTAATACAATGACATGAACTCCTTTTGTGTGTTTTATTCCCTTATGTGGCAGTAATGTGAATCATACTCATGGTGCTATGCCAATGTCATACCGTAAAATGCCACTTGTTAGCCCCCTGGTTTTGGGCCCTTCCTGCATCTACCTCTAAGCAAAAAACTATATCCGATTATAATTAAACCCATTTCCCCCCGGATAGAAACCCCCGTCTAGCTTTTCATCTTTTGAGAGAAAGAAATTTTGTTGTGAATTGTGCACTAGAATTGGTAGCAAAGTTAAACTTCGAAGGAAAAGTCTGAACTTCTGTTTTTTTATGTTCCAGTGTTCTAGTTTTGTGCTGTTCCAATTGTATTGAAATGGATTCGATTTAATATGACGTTTAAAAGCTTAATTAATAACCAGTAAATACAAGAAGTGTTTCGATCAGCACTGCTATGGTTTGTGCGAAAGCGCCTTTCCTATTCCGGTCGTATGCCACCTCAGATTAAGGCCCCTTCGTTTATGAGATTTCCTTAATTGAAACCCCTTACGAGGTTGTAGAAGCCCAAGGATACTAAGCGCCAGTTTACAGTATGTTACGACCATGTCTTTACGCCTGCATTTTCACACTCTAAAATAACGACATAATTAACCTTCCCATGTCGTTAGGCCTTTGAAGAACTGTTGTCATGTCGCTAGTGTGAACCAGGCACAAAGTTAAAATTGCTATTGCGTGACATGTAGCGACCCTTGCATCACCAAGTTTGCAGATTTTGGAGCCGGCAATGATTTGACCAGAGGAGACAAATTCAGAAACATGCGTGTTGAAAGAGAAAATCATATACGATCAAAATTTGATATTTTTGTCTTGTTTTGGTCAAAATTCTCGGTTTTTTCCCTATTGTTTGCGCAGAAAAACGTATTTTAGCTTTCGAAAGAGGAGTAAAAATACGGAAGAGGTCTCCTTGCATCTATAAAAGCGTTATTAAATGTTCCCTGGTGCTTCCTCGACGGGTTTTTGTAAGTATCCTGTCAGTTGTTAGTAAAAAACCTTGAATTCTTTTTGTTGATGAGGCAGTTGACTTTGAATTTTGGTGGGAAGCAGGTGTTGATGTTACATCAAATGAAGAAAAGTTTTTTCCTCCTAGACCATGCGCCATTTAGTAAAGGCTTTCTGGTTTTAACTGGAACAGCTTCGTTCATCAACATCCTTTTTGCATCATCCACAAGACGCTTGTTTCCTAATAATCCATGGATCCAGATTGTGCATAACTCAAAGGTAGTGTACGAATTTAATTCTTACTTCTGATAATATTTATTTTACTCAGGCTGTCAGTTCTTTAAAGTCGGTTTTCAACAACAGATTGATTGGAAGATATAAGATGACTAGGGACGTGGTGAAAATCAACAAGAGTGGGGTAAAGATCTCTGTATAACCCCATACTATTCTTAAATAAAGCCTTAGTCCCAAAGGTAATCTATTGTTTTCTTAATCGAAGAACTGTATGCATATTGATGTTAGTGGCTGTGCTGAAATTGTACCTAAATGGGAGCTCGAAGTGGAGTCTTAAGCCAGATAGAATCTTAATCTGTTACAAACTATATTGTTGGATTTAAAAGCAGATGGAGAAAAATGAACAAATCACAATTCCAGTTCTCGGTAACTTGAGTATAACGCAACTTAAACAATCAGGTTTTCACCAGGTGAGAAGTTTAGAGCCAAATTAGACAGAATTTGCAGGCTGTGTCTGATTCTGTCAGTTTGCTTTGGTACCATTTATATTCCTCTGTGCTGGCCATTGTGACTCTGGACCTTAACTTCCTCCTTAATGAAATCCTGCTTTAGTATACATATACAATCTTGACATATAACTGTTTAATGATTCACATTGCAAGATGCACCATCCAGGTAAGTTTTATATTTACGAAATAGATTGTATGTTGCCAGGCGTCTGCTCAGGAATAGGTAACAAAATAATGACGTCAAAAGGTGGAAAGAACAAAAAAGTGGCACACAATTGAGCAACCAAGTGTATCATCTTCTGTTGCTGTGACTATATAGACCCTCAGCACCATGGAACTTATTTTGTGCTATATGATAGAAAAGCAAAATGTTGTTGATATTGACATCACATGTGTGGTCATCCTTCAATAAGCAAGAACCAATCAAAATTTGTGTGCAATTGAACAGCTTATTACACAAATAACTGTAGCTCCCATTACTGACTGAATCTGTACATAAGTTATCTTTTTTTTCTTTTCATTTTTCAGTTATGGCAAGTTTTGTCCTCGTCTTTTTACTATTCAAGTGCTAGAAATTTGATTTGTGGTTCATTTCTTCTGTATTCCTTCCGGATCTTTGAGAGACGATTTGGATCTAAAAGATATGCAGTAAGTGATAAATAATGGTAAAAAGACTTACTGAAGGGAAATTCAGTCTGTAATCATGCGAGTGATAAATAAAATAGGACAACGGCAAAGTGGTTGTCTGATTTGTTCATTACAAGTTTGATTACCGACAGAATTAGCCAACACAAAGTTCTGTTACCAATTAATCAAAACTATGACATAATTAATTTTAAGAAACAACCTGTCGGTTGGTTGTGGGTTTATGTAAACAATCAACAATTAACTTGTTGAAGTGCACGAGGACAACACACCCACATGACATATGCAGTCCAATTACACAGGCATTAAGGGTTCACTGTCCAATTATAAGCATGCCAATTTTGTTAAAATTTTGATTAATCTCACTGTTAATTTCAATTGAGAATGTATGAGTACCAGTAATTTTTTTGTCAGTTCTAGTACTTTTTCTTCTTATATACAATTAACTTATTTCTTTTTCTTTACAGTCTTATATTTTCTGTACCTCTGTTATTGCAATTGGACTTCAACTTACCTCTGTAGCTGTTCTCAAACATTTTGGGCAAGAAGTAGGACTTCCTCCACCAGGACTGTATCTTTTTGTCTTTAATAAAAACATGTTATCCTGTAAAAAAAAATTATGTTCCATCGAGTTTTTTGACACGACTTTAATACACAATTATTCACTGTAAAGGAGGTGAATAATGGTAGATATTACCAAGCCACAAAGCGTCAAGGTAATTATCCACCACTTCCACCAGTACTGATGTGAATAATTATTTTTAATCAGTATATAACACTGACATAGACCCAAAAAACTAGTTTATTTCTGCCCTATACCAAAAAGCGGTCAAAAAAGTAAACTCTTGCTAGTCACTTCCAAACTAGCCAATCAGGTGGTTTGTTTTGGTTCATGGATAGACCTCATTACCATAACTTAAGGGTGAATAACTTAGCATCTAATTTCCCCTTACAATATCACCCTCGAATCACACATTAAGATCTCAAGAATGAATGATCACCAACTAATGAAGCTCTTGATTGTTAAGCAAATTCTCCTTGTCAGCACCTTGGGAAATGTATAGAGAACAGTATGGAGAATATGCATACTGATGTTGGGGTGTAAAGAGGTGAGATAGTATTTTCCTTACATGTGCCTCAACACTAACAGTTTTGGAGTGCTGTTTGCAACTCTTGTCAAGTATTTCTATGATGTCCCAGCATCAGATGCCATTACTTTCTTTGGATTCCCAATCTCAGGCAAAATATTTATTTACTCCATAGCGTTACAGGTAAGTAGTTTGCCTTTGATCCTTACCAGAGGTTTTATTATATACTAGTCTTCTCGGATAAGGACGAATAAACCGTAGGCCCCATCTCCTGCAGGGTTAGGGGTAAGAGATGTTAATTTCCCATGCATGAGATTACTGTGTGGTGGATGTCCTCCCCTGGGGTGGGATGGGTGGGTTTACTGGGCCCGCAGTAACTGGCGCAAGCTGTTGCGGTGTCCCTGCCTGTCGGCAAATCTAATAAATTAAATTAAATTAAATTAAGGGCCAGGCACCACACAAATGGAGGTGTTGTGTGGATGGTTTTGCCCACCTGGTTTGACCATCTGGAGGAAAGTTTATCCTATAAAGAAGTTCAGTTCAAAACGTTTTGCCCTCCTTATGAAAATGTTAATGAAACCTGTGCTTTACACTACGTGTAATTGTGGACCTTGTAGTGGTTTGGACTATGCAAGGAAAACAGAAGAATTCCCAATTTATTCCTAATCTTTCCAGATGGTCCTGAATATCCAAGATTTTATGCTTGGGGCAAGATGTTAAGTTTATTCATTAGTTGCCAAAGTTATTGATAATAGTTTTAAAGGACAATCTTTAAATTACTTGTCAGGGCCCAACACTAACTTTTCAACGTACTAGCCAAGTGGTTAGTGACAACTTAGATGTGACAACAATTTCAGTTTGTTTACTAGCCATACTGGCTAGTGGAAATCAAAAACCATTCTCCAAAACTGAATTTCAACTAGTCCATGGGTAGTTGGCTACCATTAGTGTTGAACCCAGCTTGTATAAATAGTCATTCATTTTCTTCTTAATAGATGCTGTTAGCTAGTAGGGAATCACTTTTAGCTGGTGTTTGTGGGATGGTAAGTTCAGAATTAAACCTTTTTATTTCATACATACTGAGATGTACACTATATATATCTTATTAACCAAGCACGAGGGCCGTACTGGGAGAATATCGGCCCGAGGTCTTGACAGTACAGACCTCGCTGCACTCGATCTGTACAAAAAAGACCAGGGACCGATGTTCTTCCAGTACGGTCCCGAGCAAGCTTGGTTAATAAAAGATTTATTATACGACTGAAGTTCAAAGGGACACAAGTGCGGATCATTCAGGACCATTCGGGACAGTGCCCGGTCCAATACTGAGAGAATATTGACAGGCAATAGAGCATTTTGATTGGTTGTTTTTAGTTATTGGCCCTCTGAATGCCCGTGTCGTGTAATAAAAAGTGTTATTATTCATGTCTCTGATTGGATGAAGGATGTATTTCCACAGTTGTCTGCTTCCAATCTTTGAAATGTTTTGGTCAGTAAGAAAAAAATCTCTGTATGCATGAAATTAAAACATTCCATGGAAAGAGTTTGAATGATTTTTATGAACTTGCAGCAATGCATCAGACAACTCTCTTGTTTGTTTTTCTGATGCATTGCAACTCATGAATAAAAATCATTCCTGCACACTTTCCATGGAGAAATCTTTATAACTCCCTTGAGTGGCCTAGACAGAATTCCTCCATACAACATCAATACAATATCTAGCAGGCAAGTGATGTAAATAAAGAAAAATATCAGGGAGAGGATTATTATTTTTTATGGTTATAACCACTGATTTCATGATACAAGTCTTGAAAAGGTTATAACATTGAACTTGTTCGCGCAAGAAATGCTATCATTTGTTCTCCCTATTTTACAGGTAGCAGGATTTATTTATAGGTTCAACTTATTTCAAGTTCAACAGTGGCTGAACTTGCCAGAATCTCTGACGTCAGCTGTGTCCAGAGCAATCGGTGGATTGTTTTCAACAGAGAGTCTCCCTACTCAGCCCTATGCAATGGGTGCGACGCTGGAAATACAGAGAGCTCAGCAAGTGGAACATTACGAACAGCAAGCATTGAGGGCTAGAATGGGACATCTCAGAAACAGGGTAAATACATCATTTCCTATATTCTCATGACTATGATGTGTGATTCAGGGTGTGATATTGTTACAGTAAGGAGAAATTACATGTTAGTCACTCTTAGGGGCCAAAAGATTTAAGTTTAATTAAGAAACCAATCAAGAAATTTTTTTGTAACATCTATATTTATTATTTAATATATAATAAATGTTTGATGTCATCTAGGGTCCTCCAAGAGTAGGCCAAGGATATGCAGATGTTCTTGTGCCCCCTGGGGGAGGAGGCTGGCTTTGGGGTGGGGCAGGTGGCCAACAGCCACCACCCCCACCTCCAATGAATAACTGGCATGACAGAGATGCTGATGCAGACAATGCTAACGTACCTCAGCAACCAACTGTGGAAGTTTCCGAACAACAGGTAGGTAGAAATCGTTTCAATTGGTTATGTGAAGGGGAACCACTCAAGAGATATGAGTCAGGTTGTGGCAAATGTAGTAAGGTTTGGCATGATGCTTCACAAAGATAAGACTATGAACAGTTCCTCTTTCCAAGCTCAGTCTGGTAGGGTGGCAGAAGTGAACAGTGTAGAGTAGACATCTATATTTATACCGGATAGCCCCTTCAGTGTGGTAAACACTGGTATCAACGGGGGTCCTGTTACCCACCCATCCCAGGGGAGGACATCCATCACACAGTAATCTCGTGCATGGGAATTTAACGTCTCCTGCTCCTAACCCTGCAGGAGAGAGGACCTCCATTTATTCGTCCCTATCCGAGAAGACTAGAATATCTAACCATTTCTTGATGTTATAGAAAGGTAGCATATTCTTCTCAATTATTTTATGACCCTGAGGGTTGGTCTGGCCGGGGCTCGAACCCTTAACCTCCCACACAACAGTCCAGTGCTCTATCCATTGAGCTAACTGGTAGGTGGTATGTAGTAAGGTACTCATTTTGATGCAAATTGTAGCATTAAAAGGTGCTGATCACTTTTAACACATGTAACAGACTCACATTCAGAGTAATAATAATAATTTAATATTTATATTGTGCAAATTAACATCTGAATAATATGATCAAATGCGCATCGCAACACTGTCTGGGGGACTTTAGTTAGACTGCATCAGCAGTTTACAAACAATTGAAGGAAACTTATTTCAAGATGCCCCCTCCCCCCAATTCCCAGTAAACAGGCCAGACCACATCACAGTAATCTTGTGAGTGGGTTCTTTAACGTCCCCTGCCTAACCAAATTAACTAATAAATAAATAAAGGCTGATAGTTTCTAAAGAAACTGTTTGGGGCTGCGTCGGTGGGGGTAACGAAATAATTTGAATATATCAACAAAGTTGAAATGGTAAATTGGCCACCGTTATGATTATAAAAGCTGACGTTTCGAGCGTTAGCCCTTCGTCGGAGCGAATAGAGGAATTGTGGGTTGTGTGTGCTTTTAAAGACAGAAAATGGAGCTTCATTATTGGTGGAGCTATTACTTAGCTCCATTTACTGCCTTCAAAAGCACACATAACCCACAATTCCTCTATTTGCTCCGACGAAGGGTTAACGCTCAAAATGTCAGCTTTTATAATCGTAATGGTGGCCAATTTACCATTTCAACTTTGTTGATATATTCAAATTATTTAACTAATAGATGCAGAGTAACAGTAGATTGGTGGAAGTTTACAACACAAGGACCTACTATACTCTCATGGTTTGATCATTACCAGCCTGTTCACAGACTATCTTATTTTCCTCTTCCAATAATGTATCAAGTGTGGGAAAATTCAAAGAATGCAGATCTAAGTGGGTAGAGAGTAGTTACAACTCTGCACCATAAGCCTATAAAAAATGAAAGATTAATGTGATGAAAGTAGTGCTGGAGGGTGGTGCAATGCTATGCTTATCCTCTTAAGGAAAGAAAAGAAAAAGTGGGTTTGGACAGGCTAGAGCAGTAATTAAGCGATAGAACACCTTTTCCAGGCTCCATAACATGATCAAGGCTCGTGGGATATTGAGATTACAGGTAGCCTTCAGCTCATGATTATAAGCTTTCTGAAAGTTCCCTTAACATCACAAGTGACACTGTCATGTTATAAGGCCCAGAAAAATGCGTTCTATTGCTTTTATGACATAATCAGTTACAGACAGGCTCTATAATCTGAAAAATACATCTGCTTGGAAACTGAACTGACCAAGCAGATGACACATACTATGTTCATTTTGTCATTTAGAAGCTGAAACTGTTTTCACACTTAAATCATTGAATGACTGTTTAAGCTCAATCAATCTTTCATTAAATGTGGCAGGTTCAGACTTTGGTAGAGATGGGTTTCTCCAGAATGGCAGTCCTCCATGCTCTGACAGCAAGTAACAATGACATCACCGTGGCCACAAATATTTTATTGTCGCAGTCTTAGCCTCGAGTATTATTAGTACCGGTAGTGGTTAATTACAACATCTGGTCCGTTGTAGCAACTACCTGTCAGGATTTCTGTAAATACAGTGTAAAATGCAAGATCAAAATATTACAGATGTAAAGTTCTGATTTTGAGAGACTTAATAAGCAAGTCGGAGTAACATTTTTATGTTACATGCCTTCTAATGTTTATGGTAGGATAGTTTTAACAGTGGAGGCCATTGGAAGTTTTATTAATGTGCCATGGTACTATGAAACTACATGTACAGTGAGGTGGCTGAAAAAAAGGAAGTAATAAAATTGTTTTAAATTATGATGAATGCACTTCAGTGTCAAGCTCGAAGCCAAATTAAGCTCATCAAACCAAAGTTTCAAACCTTTAATCAGTCAACTCATGTCCTTTTTTAATACCAAGGTTCTTTCAAGCTAAGGATAAGCATCCAGAGAAATTCTGCAAACTAACTGATGTCTGATACTCAAAGAATTGCCTCTCTTTAGCAAGAGTATGCAAGAATTTTTATCAGCGGAAATGTCTGTTCTGAAAAGATAACTTTTCCGAGAGTAGAGTTTATGAAAACTAAGAGTTTTGACCTCCAGCTGAAAGTAGTCCTGCAAAGGATGGTTCTTGGTTGTAGCAACTGGCAATGCCACAACCCTGGTGGGGGATGTTACCCGGTTAATAGGACATCAGGTACAACTACCAACAAAAAACTCCTTCTGAGGACGACCCTCAACTGTGCAATCAGACTACAAGTTCAAAGATTAAAAGATACAGAACCACAATTGATCTTTACAAATCTAGAAAGACATGGAATCCATATTGTAGAGCAACCAATTGATTTAACTGAAAAAAGAACCTATGACTTGTAAACTGAGTTGTTAACAAGAATTAGTTTAATCTACACTTCACTAATCTCCAAAAGTTTCCATTGTTACCTAACAAGTCATTTAGCTGGAATTTGATTAGCTATCTGTCCAGGAATGACACGTGAACTAACTGCTACGTTTTCAAAATCACTATTTATACAACTGATTAAACAATACTTCATGGTAAAAGATAACTAATTTTCTCAGCCAAAGTTTTTGAATAAATACAAAGAACATGCATAAATTAAAGCAAATTTAAAGATTGAAAAATTGTTTGCCCTCTCTCAAATGTTCTTTGGTACTATACATTGTACATAGCATTTGGCTTGTAAACCTACATTCCTTCAAATAAACCATGTACTGGATATATGTAGGTTGGTAAAAAACTTACACTTTATGCATGAGACCCAATTATCCACAGGAAGAGTTGCACAATATAGTGTGACAATATTCACAGAACCTCAAGAAACCGAGAAATGTTTTGGTAGAGTTAATTGCAAAAATAATCGAGTAATAGTATGCATAGAAGTCAGCTAATTCCTTGTACAGTTAAAATTTAATGAAGATAGTAATTATTGAATATATCACTGTCAAATAATCAAATGATTGTGAAAGCAATTTGGAATGAATGTGCAATTGCTCTTTTCTGTCATGGAAAAAAACCACTACTGCATATACATTGGAAATTGCCAACAAAATCATTTGATTAGCAGTAACTATCACTAGCATTTACTTGTTTCATTTACTTCTTAAACCTCTCTAACTCCCCAAGATCCGATGGTGAATTCTCCCCTCAAGCTACCAAACATTTCCTTGTAAATTAGTTACAAAAATTTAGTGTCAGATTGAGTTTAAAACTTCTACCTGATAAGTAGTTTGGGTACTCTCTTAACTTGTCTACTGGATAACGTATGAATATTACAGAGAGAAGTTACATGTTAATCACCTCTTGGAGTCTCAAGAGTTAAATACACCAGAAAGTATTTGGTGACCATTGTGAATTAAAATTCTTCAGTCTGTATTGTGTAATCACCTCGCCCAAGAAGATAGTGCTACGTAACCCTCGGCCTAAAAAGAGTATGGAAAACTACCATTACCAGACCAAAACTATCAATTTATTACTAAAAAAAAGAGTATACAATGGTCTAGTGGTATTCCTAATCTATGTCTTCAGAGTACAAAAAGATTGTTTAATATAAAACTAAAGTCCCCTCACCTTTTGCATTTTTAACACACACTTCACTTAAAATTTACAGTACTTGCTAAAGACACATTCCAGCAATCTTATCCCCTAAACTTTTCGCTACTGTACCTATTTCATTTTCTAACTTTCTTTCCAATTCCAGAGTTGCCTTTCAACCTACTGGGACCTTAAGTGACCTTCTTAAAATGCAATTAAAAAAAATCAGTTCTGATCTTGAGCCTTGCTCTATTCACATAGCAATGAGCTCCGTGTATATGTACAACTTGATCAAACTAATGCCCTCTCATAACACTAGTTTGAAATATCTTAATTCTATCTTAATTGCATCTTAATTGAAGGCCACATCTAAATTTCACTAAGAATTTAAGAAACCTCAATTCACTTAAATTAGTCTTTGTCCACTAATTTTTCAGCATCCTCTGACACTACCGCCATAATCAGCTTTCTCTATACCCACGGACATAGAAATTTCCGAGCCTCACTGAATTTGTTTGCCAAGTTAGTCTACACTTTAACAAGCTGGCCCTTTTGACCTCTCATGATCTCATTTTAGTAATTCTCCTTGCTTTCTAACATACAATTCTTATCAGTGTTAGTTCAGAGAATTTGGTATTTGATCAACTAATAATCCTCTAATTGATACTTTTCTTTAATCTCATAACTAGTCTGACCATTATTGTAAAGAGAAATTCACCGTGGGAATTTAAGGCTCAACTTGCTTTTTCTCAAAATTCAGGCATGTCAAAACCCGATTTACTGTAACTAAATATTAAATATTTTGAATACTTGCTGTATCTTCGGTCAAAGAGTCCTAAAATGACGTTAACTCAGATGTTCATTGACATGTTTCAACATTGTCTCACCAAAATGTTCAGCCTGTTGGCAGACGTTTGATAGCCCCCTGTTGACATCAATGAGCTTTGACTACAAATTGTGCCAACATGTATGAAATCTTCAAGGTAATTTCGACCCTCATCATTAATTCTCTTGTGGATTGCCTGCTGCATAATGTCAGGGTATACACAATACTCTTCAAATTTTTGTGGATTAATTTGTAATTTGTACAATTTTTTTTTGCAGACTAAACACTTCACTTCAATACAGGAAATGTCTGCTTAGTAATAGCAATTTCACAATAGAAATTTCCTCTGCAGAGTCTCAAAGACATCAATTATTCATCAACCAAGTAAAATCATGCTTCTTGCCTGGTTCTAAACTTTGTGAAATTTTCAGATACTATACTATGATCCATCCTCAAAGGGCTTCACCAAAAACATCTTGTTACCAGCGTCATCTGTAAAAATGGGATTTCTCTTGTAATGTTCTATTAAGTCTTCCACTCTGTCAAAGCTTCGTGGACCAATTTTATATTTTCCATCTGCAAAATTTACCCTAAAATGCTTGATTTTGTCTGGAGCTTTCATGGACACTGAATATCCTCCCTCCTGGCAAGACAAAAAAAAAAAGAAGACAATTAGTCTATAGATTCACAAAATCTTCTTAAGTATCATGTTCATCTTAAGGATAAGATGCAATTATACTTTAGAAAGCATCCTTGAGATAAAAGCAAAGGTTTAACCACACACACAGATTATAAAACTGCTGAGAAAAATAAACTTGAAAAAAAGACTTTGCCTCCTTCTCCAGCCCATTCATATTTGCACTTGCCCATTTATTTGAACCAGTTATCTCTTATCGTGGATGTAGTTCTACAAAGTGACACAAGAGTAGTCAAGAGTAGATCCCAAAGCTCATAATAACCCTCGACACCCTAACATCAGTATGCATGTTCCCCAGACATTCCCTGAGGTGCAAACAATGAGAATTTCTTTGACAATCAAGAGCTTCAGTGGATCATTTCCTTTTTTCTTATGACCTTCATGTGTGATTCAGGAGTAAATTTGTCCAGAGGAATAAGATGCTTGTCACTCTCAAGCACCAAATGGTTTACTCTGCTATCTAAACTAAAAAGCTAAATGAAGCTTCAGTTGAGAGAAAACAGAGACCTTTAACAGTAAATTAGACAATCTACCTTTAGTGAGAGGCAAACGGCCTCAGATCCTGCACAGCCCTACCATTGTTTTTTCAAAAAGACCTGGTGGTCTCAGAATCAGAGATTGCCCTGCAAGTTTCTATGCTAATCCTCTAAACCTTAACAGGGTCTGGGTTAAGGTCTAACAGGTCTAGCAGCACCCGCTGGCCCCTGGCGCCTTGTTTCTGCTCTTAGATAACTCAGGAATCTTAGTTTTTTCGTACAAAGCATACAGTGTATGCTGGGTAGCCCTGGATTTCACAGTTTCAGAGCACTAGGCTCCCTTCAATTTTTCTTAAAGCACAGCCTTGCTCAACATCAGTTTACAAATTCTCCATAATGTTCACTACACACTTCCTATAGTGCTGATTAGGAGACTTTTTTTAACAACCAAAAGTTTCTTCTGCTGCTGATCACTTACTTTGTTCTCCTACATTAACCTGTTTGACCCCACAGCAATGCTGTTGGGAGAAATTTCAAGCTAGTAAAAGCATAACAAGGTTCTTCCTTACCTGAGTTTCACTAACCCTTACTAGAAAATCTCCATCAGCTGCATTTTTATTCAACATCTTTTCAGCCTGAACCCTTGTGATTTTACCCCAAAACCATGCCTCGTCAACAAATGGAAGTTTCTTATGCTGAGGTAAAATAGCTTTTCCCGGTCCCTTGTTGTCAGCTGCTGGCTCTACATTCTGCATTGGCATTTTGCCATCATTGTCTACATTTACAATATAATTGCTGGGGACCAGTCCCGAAGAACCATCTGATTTTCTCGCAACCCACCATTCAGGGTCATCTTCGGGTTTCTCAATTATATCCAGAATTTCATCCTTTTTAAAACTAAGCTCTTCGGGATTTTTCGGATCAAAGTTGTACAGTGTCTTCACTTTGTGAAGTACCGGTTTATCTGGGACAGATTTAGTCACTTTTGAGTTCTCTTCTGCATGTACATAATTGGAAGGAAACCAGCCTGATTCTTTTCCAATTTTCCCCTTCCACCAACCATCTTCTTTCTTTTCAAGAACAGTTATTCTGTCACCCTTCTTCAATACAAGTTCATCATCATGTTGCGGCTGGAAATTAAATTTAGCAATCACAGTTTCGAAAGCATTTAGAACATCCTGTGGAACAAAGTATTCCCCTGGTGAAGTCATGGCTCCATTTTCCTTTGATGATTTTCCAGGTCCTAGACTTTTTAACCAGTTTTTGGGTTTGCTCTTTTTTACATAGTTGGAAGGGACATAACCAGTTTCCCGCTTTGAATTTTCCACATGCCACCAAGATTTGCTATCATCAAGAATGACCAGTTTCTCATCCTTTTTTATGGAGAGCTCTTCATTCTGTGTAGCTTTGTAGTCATAAAGAGCGATAGCATTAGTGTATGACATCTGTAAAAAGAGGGAAATTACAGTTATTATCACAGGCCATAATGGAGAGTTTACTGCAGGGCATAAAATTAACTTTCTTTTTCTGGTAGCCACTTGGCTCCTAAATATTTTAAAGTGATAGCCAATTCCAAAAGGTTGGTGGCCGTTATGACACACACACGCACAAAAATTTATTTACCCTGTCACTGTACTAAATAGATTTTCATATCATAGTAATACAGTCATATAAACATCAAAAATGAGCCTGCTAAATTTGCACAAGCTACAAAGAGGACACTACAATGGATCATATACAACTTTATAGGTTACCTAAATCCAAGATGGCGTCTAGTGACTATAGATTTACGTTCGACATCGTGCATGTGCTGCATTTTGGAAACGAGCTTAACGAGGAACTTTGCCGCAAATTTATCCTTACAAATCTTCAACAATCACTAGATCTCTAGGTAAGGTGTGATTAGAAATTCTAGTCGCCAATTTGGCGACTAATTTTCAGGATTTGGTCGCCAAAGTGAAAAACTTAGTCGCATTGGCGCCTGTATTAGGTGCAATTTTACACCCTGTAGTGGACTAATTAACAAATCAAGATTGATTTAGCATTGTCTGTACTCTTATTGACTACTATATTCACCCTCACAGTGGTCAAAATAATGTGGACTCGTGAGGTGCAGCCCGTTGACACGAGCAGTGCTGTCTGTACTCTCATCAACAATTGCAAATTTGGCCAATCAGATTGGGACATTGCTGCCAATTATGGTAAAAAATTTATTTTAGAATAATGAAATTAAACCAGTGAGAAGCGAAAATCAACCAAATGTACAATATAAGCGGCTGGTAAATAAACAAGTTTTACGTATGATGCACAATCCTCGCAGTAGATAGCGCTATTTATGCAATACGTATCTAATACCGCAGTTCAAAATATATGAACTTCATATATTTATTCTATCTCAAAAAAGTTTTAAATACGCTCTGACTTCCCTATCATGTCTTTTGTAATTTTTGCAAAACTCAAATAGCAAAATTTCATATTCTAGCCAGCTTTGCTCAATGGTGTAATTTCATTTAAGGAAAATAGAAGCCATTCAACTGGTAAATGATGGTGTTAACCCTAAAAACCCAGATTGTTTTGCTATTGATTTTTTTCAGTTTTAATTCTCTCAATCCCCACCAAAGTAACAGTAATACAGTTTACTTTCTTGGGCATAAATATGTTTCAGGCACCTCAGAGTAATTTTAACCCTCACCTGGTATCTCAGGCTAAAAATGGATAACTCAAAGTCAACCCCAAAACATCTTTGTGCCTGCCAACATAACCTGTATTGTTTTATTATATCCAAATAATCAATCAACAAATCTATGGAGGTTTTTCGTTTATTTTAGATTACCAAAAACTTCAGCCATCCTGGCAAACATCATCGAGTTTACATTTGTATTGCTGTTCAATTTTCAACCTGATTAAAAATTCATTCACACATCAGATTCATTTTTACATATTTTCCTCTTTTTTCTGAAGACATCCAAGAATTTAAGGCAAGGTAAGATCACACTGGTTTTAAAGAACTTTAACTCAATGTAAAAAAAAAAAAAAAAAACTTTGAACCACAACAGGCACAGTTTATCACTATTATCAGAGTAACACTTGAGATTGTCCTTGAAGAAATTTTGGAGAAGATCTATGTGAGCATGTGTTATACCTAAATTTACGGTATTATTGAAACTCTTCAACAGCTGAAACAACATTCTGTCCTTCAAGGGAAATTGAAAATCACAGCTATTTCACAACAAATCCCAAACAATCACCAGGACGAGAAAGATTGATAAAATAGTGTGAATCATGTACGGTATAAAAGATTTAAAAACAGGCAATGTAATAACTTAACATCTGAACCTTGTACCGACTGAATATCGAACCAATTACTCGCAACACTTTTTGATACAGTCCTACTCCACGCGTACTTTTTTTCTGCTTTTATTTGTATGAAGTCACATGCTAGACTTGCTTACCACACGAAAGTGAAACAACAATTAATGACCGCTACTGCTAACTTTCATTTGACTGAAATTGCTTTCATTATTAGAAATAAAAAGATTCTGAAAGAAAAATTCGCTCCTTTCCATAATATTCTTGCGCAATTAATAATTCTTATCGTAACTAATTTGTTTTGCAAGAGAAAATCTGCTTAGTTAAAAAACGGTACCACTGATGTTTATCAAGAACAAGGTGAGATAATGCGAGAAGAACTAAATATTTAACTTCAAAGTGGTCATCTAAAATTGTGTAGCGAATTTTTCAATCAACCGGAAAATTTCTATTTGGTGTATATTTTTATATTTAGTTGAGATACTTCTTATGATTTCTGAAAAGTAAATACAGTTCCTCATCTAAGATGCTTATCTCGAATGGTAGACCTCAAACAGAATCAGCGGCGTAGAGAAGATCGTGCCCTTACGAACGAAAGAGAATGCTCAGTAAAGGGAATTTAATATCAATTCCACAGGCGGTATATAACTCACGAAATTTGCCTCTCGCCAAGTTGGAACTCACTTTCGAAAAGCAAACAGCCTAACCAATAAAAATCTACATAGGCGGTCACAGATTAATTACATTTGTATTTTCCATGGATTAGAGAACAGACAAACAATATACAAACCGTACACACGGACCTCGTTCGTAATTTTTTCTTTCCCTTGTGTGAGTATTGCTGCTTACAGTAAAAATATGCCTAAAGATGACTTTGTCTACCATCAATTTCCTCTAGAATGGCTCCTTCGAAGTCAAAACTAACCTTTTGATTACAGCAACTCCGTGAAAATCCTTTAGTTGTTCAGAGGGCCTATTCACTTTCCTTGAAGAGAGGTCCAAACAGTTTTCGGATTACCGCCGACGGTGTCAACATGGCGGAATACACCACAACTTTACACCCTTGTCACGTGATAGTCAAACCCAGTACTCCTGCTGCACGACTCATTCCGTTCTTCCCAAAAGCAGTATTAACTGGAAACTAGTCTATCAGTGAAGGATACAACAAGGGAAATAAAAAAAGAAAAAAGAAACGAAGAAGCGAAGGAACGAAGGAAGGAACGAAGGAACGAAGGAACGAAGGAACGAAGGGACGAAGGAACGAAGGAACGAAGGAATAATAATAATAATATAGTTCTTAAAAACGTATTACACATAAGTCTCAATGCTTTTACATAAGATTTAAAGTAATTGCAAAATAAGATAAAATTTAAACTATAAATTAAAAGCGATTTTTAAAAGGTGAGTCTTGAGCCTGGTTTTAAAATATCTTATGAAATCAGAAATTTTGTTCCAAAGCATGGGGGATGGACGCGCAAAGGATCTGTCGCTATAGGTAGAGGTTCTAAATCTTGGGGCAGACAAGTGATGGACCTTGAGGAAAGGNATCGTTCGAACGTTTGGCCTCACTATCATGGGGATTACCTTGAACGCGGAATCGGCTGTTCCTTATATCACATTCGCCTTCGTGGTCTGGCGAAACGTATACCTTTGTTTCAACAATTTACAAAATACGTACAAGGAAATCAAAATTATGATTTGGGAAGAATGGAAAGAGCAGAGCGAAGGAACGAAGGAACGAAGGAACGAAGGAACGAAGGAACGAAGGAACGAAGGAACGAAGGAGCGAAGGGACGAAGGAACGAAGGAACCAAGGAACGAATGGAACGAAGGAACGAAGGAACGAAGGAACGAAGGAATGAAGCAACGAAGGAAAGAAGCAACGAAGGAACGAATAGAAGGAAGGAACGAAGGAACGAAGGAACGAAGGAACGAATGGAACGAAGGAACGAAGGAACGAAGGAACGAAGTAACGAAGGAGCGAATGACATAATTTACCCTTACGGCTACGACCATGAAATGCTTTGAGACCATTCGACATTCGATAAACTGAAGAAGGGTAGCACCGTACAGTCGATACGTCGTGACCCACATCACTAAATTGTGTAACAAATGATGAGAACTTTATTATCATTGTATTCCACTGTAATAAATAATCCAAATCTTTTGATACCAAAAAATCAAGATCCATGAACGATGAAACCCAACAGTTCTATTGGAAATACTTGCGCAGTTACGTAACAAAAATGTTATGTTTTTATATCATCACTCATGGCAAACCTTTGTTTATGAGAATCTTTTTTCCTTCAGGATAGCGCGGATAGCCTCCATCACTAACCGAGCTAATTGTGGTTATCATGAACAAAAAAATGTGTACTTATCGTCCTTTGCCAACACTTTTTTGGTGTCAACGTTTTTGCAACCGTGTGTAACTGCTAACTTTTATGCTTGAACTACCGTACGTGCTCTGTATTTAATTGTGTTTCTCTAAAAATAGAAACGTTAAAGGATACTAGACCATATTAACTTCGTCATACTTCCGCTTTAAAAAGAAAGCGGAAGTATGACGAAGTTGATATGGTCTAGTATCCTTTAACGTTTCCATTTTTAGAGAGACACAATTAAAAGTATCTTAAGCAACCAGCCTAAACGGTCGATCAAGCATGCCGAATTTTGGAAATATGCGGAGGTCCATAAGCATGCATTGCAAATTAACGAAAGGAAATTGAAACATTTCCTTGAAACGAAGGAAGTCTAAACATTTCTTCTCCCTCTAAAAATCCCCGCCAAACCCAACTGACGCAGGCAGTTAGTTATTGTATAAATGGACATTCTACGCCAGTTTCTCATGCGAAGCATGCAAGCAGACAACACACGTGCCACGAAGAAGTTTATTCCTTTCTGTTCTGATTGTTTCTTGTTTGATTTGTCGTAATATGGCAAAGTATTCTTGTGACAAATCGAAGTGTCGGGTTTCTCTCAACAGCGATTCATCGCCTGAGTTCGGATTGAAAGCTTCTGAAAAAGGTGTGAAACAAGTGTACTTAAAAATTCAAGATCTTCATTGACAGTTACAGAATTTTGCCGTACAGATGGGTTTGGGCTCGAAGCGAAAGCGAGCCAATGTTAGGTCTGTCCTACGACTATGACGTTTTGTCTTCAGTTGGGTCTGTTGAAAAATCAAGCAAAGTCCATGGTTTTGATCTTTAAAAGAAACACAACATGGATGCCTTCTAGATTTGAATTATTCATGCCAGCTCATTGCCATAGCAGAAGCGCTGACAAACTTAACAGCGACAACAAGTTCAACTGATGGGAAACTGATGAATGAGCTAAACTCTGGTGTCGTTTGTTTCCGAGTCTTGAAGGAATTCTCTTTCGGCCTTGGAAGTGGATTTAAGTACAAGTGTTGCAAGTAGGCTAAGGAAAATTAGAGAAACCAAGTAAACTGTGACTTTGACCTAATTGAAAGCATATGGCTCTTGGTTTTTAACGCTGTTTTGACAGTAGTTTTCATCTTTGTGTTGTTCTACTGGCCTTTGCTACTCTGTGGGATTCCAGATTTCTTATCACACGGACATCTTCAGGGATACGGAAGAAAAGTTACTTCAAAACAAGGAAAAAATGAAAATGGAAAAGAAGGGGAGATATTTTTGACTACAGTAGACGAACTCCCGGTGGATGATTCAAGCCCGATAACTTGTGCGGAGATTGTACAAAAATGCATGACTAATTTGCCATCTTTAAGTACGGATTCAATGTAAAATTGATTCTCTTTTGGTATTGTATAATTCCAATATTTTTTTACATTAAACTCTTGTTGTATTTTATAATCAAGGAGAACTTCGACGAGACCTCCAGAAAGCTTCTGTTTCAAGTTGTTGATTCTTATCTTTACATCTTTAGCATGGTTAAACCTGCTGTTTATGTTTTGTTTATTGTGCCGTTATTTGTAATATCCACTGTGGTAATTTTCTGTTGGACACCCAGAAAAGGCGGGGTTTTTCATTCAGGTGAAGTGTTTCATTTGCGGGCGAGACCAGCTCAGTCTTAAAAAGCATACAGTAGAGCATGTAAAAATTATGCCTAATAGTTTAATCAAGGTAATGAAAACTGTTTTACTCTTTCTTCGACAGTTCGCATTAAAGATGCGTCCCAGCGGCAATGAATGTATCCATTCTCAGCAGTCACTGTGTGGGAATGCATTTTGTATCTTATGCACGATTGCATTCGTGGTTGTTATGAGTCTAATCGCCATGTAACAATATCTCTTTTAATCGGCTTAGCTGTTTTTATTGTAAAAACTATTGTACATTCTCCCCTCGATACTGGATTGATTCACCTGACAGCACAAGCTAAATTTATAATTCATAAATACGGTAAAATTTGCAAGTGGTTGTCGAATTTTCTATTCATCATTGTTTCCCTCCCATTTTTCGTCAGCGTATCAATCAATGTCACCTTTTCTAGTCAATTCATCGTTCGAACGTTCGGT